CCAATTTATGTGAACCTATTTGACTGGGCACGAAATTTAAGAAAAAATAAAGACTTTTGGAATTTGTGGTCCTAAACAAGTCAAAAAGGGGCCCAGAGTATTTGTGTGGTTATAAAAGCTTCTCAGTAAGGGTAGAATTGTAAGTTTAAGCTAAATTGTTTCCAAATTTAGAAAGGGTTCATTCTTTTTGGAACGGACCAAAAAGGAAATAGGTTCACATAAACTGGAACGAAGGGAGTAATTTGTTTGGCCGTGCTGAGCTTTGGCCAAAAGTGTTTTACTTCAGCCAAAAATGAATTTGGTCAAGTTTTTTGAAGAAAGAAAAAATGTGCTTTTTGAGTATAAACAGAAGTTATTTTTGAGAAGCAGGAAAAATCATCGTCTCTCCAAAAGAATTTTTAGAAAAATTTTTTGAGAAAAATACACTTAAAAATACTTTTTAAAAACTTGGCCAAAAATCTAATTGCTGCTCAAAAATGCTTTTTAAATTGATTATAGCCAACACAAACTGCTCATCAACAAAAATATCTTTTTGAATTTTTTTTGTTGAGAAAATTACTTTTCAAAATAAGCTGCACCTCCAAATAGGCTATAATAGTAATTGGCAAATCTAAATCTTTGTACGTACCTATTACAATTACTATAAGCTTTTGAGAATATAAAACAGTCTTCATTTGTACACGTGGCGACCACGCAGAATGCGAGCAACCTTTCTTCCACCAATACGTAAGGTAGCTGATTAAAACCGCTCTTCCCTCTTATTTCTCACTCTGTATCTCTAATTCAAATACAACGCCATTCCCACACCCAAAAGACTTGTGATAAGTAAAAACTCAAAACACACACACACACACACTCTCTCTCTCTCTCAGTTAATGCAACGTAATATCCATGGCTAACGAGAAGGGTATTCCGAATCTTGAACGTTCTCTCTCTACCCCATCAGAGAAAAGTACCGACGTTCCAAAAAGTGACAATCTTGATTCCCAAAATGTTACTATCACTATTGACAATAACCTATTGATCGATTTACAGCAGCTTTCAATTGGACCTGTTATCAGTGAAGCTCGTTATTCTGTGGTTTACCAAGGATTGTGAGTTGTCTGACTGATTTCTACTTCTCTCTGTAGCTCCATCTTCTTGTTCTAGTAATCTTCAATTAATTTCTTGAATTGGGTTTTATATAATTTTTTGTTCTTGGAATGGACTTGATCATATCGGCTATAATAATCTGTTCCTTCTTCTCTTTTGAGACTATTTTTCTGTCATTCTTGTTATGTTTGTCCTTCGGGGTTAAATTATCTTTTAGTATGTAATTCGTTTATTGACTGTTATTAAGTGTGGTAAAAGTTTTGGTTTTTTCAATTAGCTTCAAAATTTTGTATGTAAGAGTGATTGTCAGCATAATCCTCAAAAACAAAAAATTAAAAAAAAAAAAAATTGAAATTGTACAAGCTGAAAGAATGTCTGGTGCTTGTAGGAGAACATGACAATTATGATACTGGGAAAAATTCTCTCTACCATTGACTTTAGACTATATTAACCATATGTGGATTAATTCAAGATTACTAGAACAAGAAAATGAAGCTACTGCACAGATAGTGTATGTGAAAGAGGATTCATATAGCCGTTTCCAATTAGTTTGAGATTATAAAAAAGTTAATTGATGATTCTGTAAAAGAAAGTTTCAATGAGGTAATAGGTCTTGAGTCGAACGAAGAATTTAATACTGAAGCGTCTTCTTTAGTCCTATACAATCAAAATTTCATCTAAACTATGAAAGGGGGGAGATATGGAATGTTGCTTAAATTGAAATGGATCCCATTCTTAGAACTACAATGTATAACTTTGCAACTGATATATTAGCTTTAACGAATTTTTTTAGTACTTCCTCCGATCCATTTTATCTGACTACATTTAACTGAAAATGGAGTTGAAGATCATAAATTTTTTATTGGAGTTGATTAAGAAATGGAGGTAATGTTTGAAGCTAATGTGGTGTCTAGATTAACTGTTGGTGGAAGAGATCTGCCAAGTTTGGTTCAATGTATTCTGCTAATATATGAATATCCGAGAATGCACTATTTCACGTACCTCCCTTTTCGATATTTGTTTTAATATCCCTTACGTATATGCATGCTTTAGATACCTCTCATTCTATTGGTGAATGCAGCACTTTGGTTACGAAAATAGGTTGACCATAGATTTTAGAAGTTTTGATGTTACTATGTATACTCTTGCAAAGGTCTTTTGTACTAAAGTTCATATTATTGCTGTTCTGAACCACATTTTATGTTTCATGTTCCAGATATAAATCCCTACCTGTTGCGATAAAAGTAATACAGCCAGAGAAATCCTCAAATGTAAGTCCTGAGAGGAAGGTGAAATTTGAGAGGGAAATTACGATGCTATCTAGAGTGAAGCATGACAACATTGTGAAGGTATGTGCTGTTAACAAGAAATGTGGCACAAGCTAAATTTCATTCACGTGGTTTACCATCGTTTAGGTGGCATTACTCCATGTGTTTACCTTAGTTTAGTCATTGCGCGTGTTCACTTAATCGAAGAGTCTAAATCAGGAAAGACATTGTTGACTTTGATGTTTAACAAAGGAAAGACAATAAAATCCATAGCCATGTGTTGTATGTAACCATATCAAATAATACAGACCTGTTCAATACAGAATGTAGCCTAGAGTATTGGTGATTGGTTTTCTTTTTACCGGCTATGCTTATGTCCTTCTAATCCTTACAGTTTATTGGTGCCTCCACGGAACCAGCTTTGATATTAGTCACGGAGTTAATGAAAGGTGACACACTTCAGAAGTACCTGTGGAGCATCCGACCACATTGTCCGGATTTGAACCTTTCTCTAAGTTTTGCATTGGGAATTTCTCGGGCAATGGAGTATTTGCATGCCATTGGCATCATTCACCGTGATCTGAAGCCAAGTATTCCGCCTTATCTCTCAGTTCTCTATTTCGCTTCAAGTTTTATGTTTATGTGACTGAAGTGAGTAGGCAGTAGTACTATAACACACTGATCAGGGTTATCACTTTAGGGCATTACGGCAATTTGAGTTGCTCGACTTTCATTTTGTAATCTTTTTATGACTCTCATTTTGCAATTGGAAAAGAAAGTGGCTTCAGTTATAGCCAAAAGAGGGGTAGATGCATACGGGGAGATAGAACAGGTTTTGTTAGGCTTGAACTATGTGTACATATAATAATGTCATGTACATTCTGAACCTATTAACTCTAGATCTTCAACTCGTCTTTGGGTGGAGGGGGAGTGCATTGTGTAATTTCAAACAGAGAAGAAACCTTATATTAACATATTTGAAATTAAAAAATTTCATTCTCGAAATCTGTCTCATTCATGGCCGTGTGGTACATTTGTAGGTAATCTACTCCTCACAGAAGACAAGACGAGAATTAAACTAGCTGACTTTGGGTTAGCTAGAGAGGAGGCAGAAACTGCAATGACCGCAGAAGCTGGTACATATCGCTGGATGGCTCCTGAGGTATATTTTACCTTGGGCTAAAAATTTTACTTCCTGCTTAAAATCAGATCATATGCTTACCTTTTGCCGATGCCAGTTATTGTACACAGGACCAGCTGATTATGGGGTGAAGAAACACTACAATCATAAAGTAGATGTCTACAGTTTCTCGATGGTTCTATGGGAGCTACTCACCAACGACACTCCATTCAAGGGAAAAACCGACACAATGGCAGCGGATGCTACAGCTAAAGTATGGTTCTGTACCTTAGCATATTACCAATTTACCGTTGTATTTCATTTTCTATTGTGCTGAAGTTTGACTATATGCTAGTATTGATTTAAACGTTAGAGTCATATAGATGCTTGCTTGGTATTGAGGCGTAATTGTTGTTGTTTTCACTGAGGTAGAATATAATTTTCATTTCCTTGATAAAATTCCAGAATTTAAGGCCTAGCACGGATAACATTCCTAAGGACATTGTACCTCTCATTAGCTCCTGCTGGTCGGAGGATCCAGCAGATCGACCAGAATTTGCGCAAATATCAGATATCCTTGCAAACATCCTTGGCGACACATATATCCCACAGACTATAACTCCAGATCTTGCTGAGGGGGAGCAGCCTGATGCATATACTCCGCAAACGATAACTCCAAACCTCTCTGATGAAGGTCAATCCGCGAGCCAAGAGATTGCTAATTCTCCTGGCACCAACAGTTTGATGGATACGAGTGCAGAAAATAAGAAGAAGAAAAGCAAGAGTTGGTTATGCTGTTTCAAGAGTGGCTACAATGACAATCTCCAATAAATGCAGTAGCTTTTCACTGGTCAAGGTAAATGTAGATAATTGATGCAAGATTACAAGATCCTGCCTCTGCCAATTTTGCTATAGTTAGGATATACGGAAAGTATAGAATACACCATCACTCTTGACATTGTACAGAAAGCATTAGCATAGCATCTTCAACACAATAGAAAATGAATAAGGAAAAGAGTATAGCTAATATCAACTCAACAACTCGCCATCTCTTGCGTATGCATTTCCTGCTGTATTTCTGCAATTCTACAAAACATAATACCACCTCTGAGTTTTGCATCATGTAGTTTTTAATATGTTATCAGTTATGTTCATGGGGTTACAAAGCACACATACAGAGCGCACGTCCTATAATTAAAAGCTCTTTGTGAAGTGTGTGTACTTATAGATAAGGGTACACATGGACTGGGCTGGTTCGGTTTTGATGAAAATCAAACCAAACCAAATATATCGGTTTGGATTTTGTCGGGGATTTTCGGGTTTTTTTGTTATGTGAATATTAATTTTTTTATTCCTTGTTTGGTTACTAATTCCGGGATAAGTTATCTTAGGATTTAAAATCGTACCAAGATAACTTGTACCCACCAGGATATTGAGAAGTAATCTTAGGATAAGCATTAAAATTGACAATCTTAGGATTAATACAATATATCAAACAGTTAATAAATAATAATAATAAGTTAATAACTAATTTCACCATAACTAATACCAGTAAATCGAGATCCAAGCCCACTCGGCGCTCGAATTATATAATTAGTAAACCCTAGACTCTTTTGATTTATGACACAAGAAAAATCACTACTACTAAAATTACAGATACTAGAAGTATGATTATGATTAGGTGAAAATAATGTCTTCCAAATATCAGAGAAAGCCTCAACGATCATCCCATGATAATGCTTAGCATTAAGTGATAGAAAAGACTGCAAAAGTTGCTCCAAATCATTCTTCTCAAACATTTGTTTCTCAAAAATCATTTCCATCATAGACCTTTTGAAATCCTCATATGGATCCTCCGATTTCTTCACGATCGCAAAACTCTCCTTCACTTTCCCGTCAACGCTACAAGGTATCAGCTTCTTGAACACAGACAATCTCGGAGGGAGCTCGTTGTCCGATGATGTAGTCGAAACCGACAGCCTTCTCCCTGTTGAAACATAATATAATTAACTTATAATTCAAAATGTGTTCCTCTTTAAAAAGAAATTAAAATTTTGTTGAGATTATCACATATTGAGACATGCTACCAAAACAAGGAGCTCTTGGTTCGTCACTACAAAAAGAATGGATTATTTGCACCATATGGCCTTTTTTAAGCCTTTTTAAAATTTGGTCTCCGTTAGTTTAGTGAGATAAATTTGACCGTTAAGCAGTTTGATCAATTTTCCTTTTTCATGCAAATTTAGCCAAATGGGCAAAATGTAAGACAAAATTGAACTACTGGCATAAGAAGGGCCATTTGCGTAAATAGGAATGGCAGGCGGGGCGGGCGCGGGTTCTGATTGAACCCGCAAAATTTAAACCCGCCCCGCCCCGCCCCGCCCCGCCCCGCATAGAATTTAAACCCGCATTCACCCGCCCCGCACTCCACCCGCGTTCACCCGCCCCGCCCCGCACCCACATTTTTAATTTATTTATAAAAATTCTTTCTTTTTTAGAAAGCTAGACTTAAATCTGATATTTTTAACAAAACAATTAATTACATCCAAAATGTTTTTAAATTCTCATATTTTGCCTCTAAATCTAATGATTTTTCCTATAGAACAATTAAACTCCATAATTTATGGAAGTGAATAAAGTAAATAGACAACTAATAGGAAATGTGCCTCAAATTATTGGTGGGTTTTGTTTGCAAAGGAGGGTTTTTGTGGACATTTTTTCAAAGGTCCTTACTGGACTAATATATTTTGGACTATGTACACTTTTTCATACTGATATTGCTCTATACTGACATTAAATCTAGTACTATATATGATGATGATTATGGTCGAAGGTAGAAAATGCAGAGGGAACTTTGCAGAATGTTATTCATGTCCTGTCACAAGATTTCATTTTTATTTGGTAATAAAGGGAATATTAAATAGAAATAGAAGGCACGTTTACCTTTGCCTTTAATTTGCTTTAAAAAATAGCAGCATTAAAAATAATAAAGTTACTAAAATGCATTTTTGTAAATGCATAATTTTATGAACGAAAATTTCTATTACATGAACTACATATAATTCAAATAGAAGAAAAGACTTTATAAAGATCTCTCTATTAGTTTAAAATATTAAATCCCCACCCGCACCCGCCCCGCATTTTTTTTTTAAATTTAAAAATTGAACCCGCCCCGCCCCGCCCCGCAACCGCAAAATCTCAAACCCGCTCCGCCCCGCTAACGTTCAAACCCGCACCGCCCCATTGCCATCCCTATGTGCAAATGCACATAAAAATAGACTAAAAACATAGTAATAAGGTATGCAACTAAAAGCGTGTTGTCTCAGACATTTTAACCTCAGATCACATAATTCAACAAAAAATTAAATTTTATATATTGACAATGTAAAGAGTATTTTGTATTATTAGTAAATCTTAACCTTAGATAGAAGGTTACCTATTAACTTTTCTAGATTAGTGGATTTTAAAGATATTTATGGGTAGTACCTAAAAAGGGACCTAGTTGTATAAATATAGTTCTTTCCGTTTCAATTTAGATGATACATTTCGCTTATTGAGAGTCAAAATTCGTAAAGTTTGGTCAATATTTTAAAATAAATTTTGTTATCATATTGATGTGAGAAAAATTATAACTTATAGTAGTACTTTTCGTGTTGTTTTGTATATCTAAATTTTAATTTTAAAACACTAAGTTGAACTAATTTAATTTAGTTTTAAAGTTTAGTCACATTGACCCTAGATAAAGGAAATGTACGTCTAAAAGGGAGTAGTAATAAGTTGCATAAAACTTTAAAGCCATACAGCATTACCAATATTCATGCCCATCAAAACGCTGCGTTTTGTATGCTTCACCCTCCTCTTGGTGCTGCCAATCGTCCTTTTTTGACGCCTTGTCTTTGTAGTTTCGTATATAGTCTCCAACTGTTTGTTTAAATCCGAAGATGAATCATTTGAAGAAAACTCCAAACTTCTACTAGATGATACTAATGTCTCAGACTCTTCTTCTTCTTCATCCCAAATTTCACTACTAAAATTCCCACTTTCATCAGCTGAGGACGTGCTCATGCTAAATCTTGTTTTATTTTTCTTCTTTTTAGTTCGACGTTTGTTTTTCTCTGTTGTGGAATGAGAGAGTGGTGGTAAGGCTAAAACCTCATTCTCAGAATCGTCGGAGGAAGAGGAGTAAGAGATTTTCCTATGAGATTGTTCTGTGTCATCGTCGATCTTAACAGTGTGCCACTTGAATTCTTGTGAAAGTGACGACCTGCTAGAAAAATAATGATATTATTAATGATAAAATGAAAAGTTCAATTAATTAATAAAGTATCTAACAAGACCTAGTGTGGCTGTCATCGGATGTGTATGCTTCTCCATTCCTTGAGGTACACCGGCAGCCGGCGGTTACCAGAGCCGTCGACACGTGGCGTTTGAAGGAGGAACGATGAGGATGCTGATGGTGATGGGGTATGGAAGGAGGGGGTGGGGTGATAGGGAAATTATCAACGGTGGTGATGAGTTGTGTGTTAGGGTTAAGGGATGATGATCGGAAGAAGGAAGGGACAGGATCTTGAGGAAGAATGGAAGGGTCTTTGGAACGGCATGAGGAATGGAAGGAGGAAACAGCTTTACATATTCTTAGCTTCAAACGTTTTTCCATTCTCTTTTTCTGCTGAAGTCTGTACGATATGAAACTGGTTGGGAGAATTAATAGTGAACATTATACAAGAGGGAAATTTGGGGGGAGGGGGGCGTAGTGTAATTGCTACTTAATTTTTGCCTTTATTTAATTAACCTACTAGTGAGAAGGAGTGAAAGGGTGTGAATTTCATAATTGATTACTACTAATAGGGGTGGCAAATGGGCGGGCTGGACTGAATTTGGGCGGGTCAAAATGGGTTAGGTCAATAATGGGTCATTGCCTAACCCAGCCCAAAGTGTACTTGGGCTAAGATGGGTTGGGTCAAGATGGGCTAAACAATGGGTCATAACCCAACCCGCCCAACTTGACCCATATTTTAGAACCATGCTCATCTTGCATAAAGAAAAGCCTTTTACCTTAAAATGTGTAAGTTGAAAAATATTTTACGGGTAGGGGTGGACCTGTGCCGAAAAACGAAAAAAATAGAAAACAGAAAATTAAAAATACAAAAAAAAAAAAAAAAAATTGAGGGAACTAAGTAAATTTCTAGATAAGTTGGGTTGAGATCATTTATTTTGGGTGAGTTTCATGGGTTATATTTGGGCTGTTAAATGGGTCAGAANGGGGGTTTGGGGGGGGGGGGGGGGGAGGGTAGATGGGTGCAGAAAAACAAAAAAAAAGTAAAAATTTTTTTTTGAGGAGGNTGTTAAGATTTCTTCTCCTAAACTTGAGTACTTATTTTCATGTTCTTTGCTTGGTCCGATGGATTATTACGATTTGCTATGATTTTCCTGTAACTTATTTGTATGTTTTGCACTCATAAAGCACACGATAACTTTTGAGCAAACAATTTGGCGCCGTCTGTGGGGATTTCATAGCAAAATCGCGTAGTTCTTCCATGGACCAAAAGGAAAGAAACGCCGGAAAAGGGAGAACAACGCAGCTTAAACAAGCCAAAGCGGCATATCAGGCCGATGGAACTCGAAGATCTCGAATCGAGATCCAGTTCCTCTGTCTCTCATCTATCGGATGGTGCAAACAAGAAGAAGAAGCCCCCCCCCCCTCTTTTGGGGAGAATCTTCATAAGAGATCTCCCACATCCCTGATAAGGGCTCCAGCCGGAAACCAGCACGGAGGAATCTCGAATCAAGAATCGCTTCGAGACAGCCTACATACCCCGGTTGGGAAGATAACGATTACGCTGCTCAAGATCTCGAATCAAAACCGAGCTTCAGCTCCCAAAATCCCACGAACCAAGACAGACAAAAAAAAAAGTAAAATTTGTTTTTGAGGGGGTTGCGGGGGTAGGGTAGGGTGGCGGGTAGTGCAGAGAAACAAAAAAACTGAAATTTGAAAATACAAAAAAAATTTATTTTAGGGGTTTTGCGGGGGAGGGGGGGAGGGAGGGTAGAGGGTGGGTGAGTAGTGCGGAAAAACAAAAGAACAGAAAATTAAAAATACAAAAAAAAAAAGGTAAAATTTGGGCAACTAAGTAAATTTCTAGATAAGTTGGGTTGAGATCCTTTTGTTTTGGGAGAAATTAAAAAATAGCCAGATTTGCAAGTGATCGTTCAAAAATAGCCCAGTTTCAAAAGTAATCGAAATCTAGCCACTTTTCATGTAAAGATAAATCTGAGCGAAAACACTGTTCAAAACCGAAAAATACGTCAGTATATTATGCTGGAGTTCCAGCTAAGTATACTTGAACTCCAGCATATTATACTGGAGTTCCAGGATAAGTATGCTGGAACTCCAGCATAATATGATGGAGTTCCAGCATAAGTACACTAGAACTCCAGCATAATATACTGGAGTTCCAGCAAAGTATACCGGTCCAGTATAATATGCTGAAAGTTCATACACAAGTGCTCGAATCTCTAGTATATTATGCTGGAACTTTTCGTGTGTTGGAGTTCCAGCATAATATGCTGGAAGTTCATACACATGTGCACCGAACTCCAGTATATTATGCTGGACCAGTCTCTATTGTAGCAAAATAGTGGCTATTTCTCATTGACTTGGTAAACGCTGGCTAATTTTGAGTGACCGGTTCGAAAACTGGCTAGACCGTGCTATTTTTACTTTTGTTTTGGGTGAGTTTCATGAGTTGTATTTGGGCTGCTTAATGGGTCAGAATGGGCTATAAAAAATAATGAATTAACTTGGGCTCATCCTAAATTGACCCATGAGCTAATATGTTTGTAGCCCAACCCATTAATTTCTGGGCGGGTTGGGCGGATTGGATGAGTTTGGGCTCAAATTGCCACCCTAACTACTACTTTTAATGATGCATAATTGTGTATGGTTTTTTTCGTTGACATGATTAAGACAAGTATTTATCTCTCTTCATAAATCTCAACCATTTCGGATAGTTCAAAAGCAAATTTGATTCTTTTCCCTTGTTATAAAAAGCGCATGTGTTGGAAAGCTTTTGTCAATTAGGGCATTATTTAACCTATGTTATAACAACATAGGTATATCTGACCTCGACCATTAATTACGGAGAAAATTTGGACCATTTTACAAAGTTCTAGGGCAAATTCGGATCCTTCTTCAAAATTTAATGCAATTAATTCCTCTCTTTTTCCCCCTGAAATTCGTCTTTAAAGAATTAAAATTGAGGAAATAACACTAAATGCCTATCACTCCCAAACTATTTACCCGGATTTGCCCATTTAAAAATTAATTTCAACTCCTACCTAGGCAATCTAAATTTATTACGCGTAAATTCACTTGTCTTTTCCCTTTTAGTTTTGCTTTAAGCTTTTACCCAGGGTGAGGGGCAAATTGAAAATGCAAATCTTTTTTTCGTTCTGTTTTATTCTATGACTTGAATTCCAAGACTTCTGACTTCTGCAAAACATTAATCTGCCATTGGAGGACCTTGAAGCTTTGAAACTCATAAATTGGGTTTGTGGTTATTTTGATCCGATTCTGACCAGGTATGTTCGAAATGTTAATTGGAGTATGTGGCTATATTCTGAGTCAATTTGGTGGAGATTTTAGAGTAGATTTTTAAATCTTGGGTTGAGATTAAGTTGAACGGCAAAGAAGACAGATTTGTACTGTATACCAAAATGGTATATTGTATACTGTATTGGAATACAATAATTCATTCAAGAGTATATAATTAACTACAATAGTATACTACTAATTTTTTTGAAGGAATGAACCAATCCTCTATTTTTACCAAAATAACATATTATAAACCAGTTTGGTTAATTCAATAGTGTATAATTTATTGCGTTGAACTGGCGAAGAAGAATGTATATTGTATACCAAAATGATATACTATATACCATTTTGGTATACACTTCATTCCAATGATATACTATTATAGTATGCTATATAATGTAACGGTATACTCTTACAATTAGGTCCTTTTAGAATTTTTTGAAATTTTTATTGACAACTGATATTACTTCAGTTTAATAATTGAATTAATTTTTTTTAACTCTTCGCGTATAATTGTATACCCTATTGATATAGCTATATACTATACTGGTATCATATGTTAGTTAATATTTTTTGGTTGTATTAGCTACATTTAATTGGTACACAATTTGATTTTTCTTTAGTAATAGTTTAAAAAAAAAGAATAATAAAAAATAGTAAAAATAGTAAATAAAATTAGATTATGAAGAGAAAAAGAATATAAAAAAAAAGAAGTTAAATGAAATTAGAAAGGGAAAAAAGAAAAAATAAGAAGAAAATGAGAAAAAAGAAAAGGAGAAAAGAAAGAAAAAAAGAAAAAAGAAAAGAAAAGAAGCATAGAAATAAAAAAGAATTGGAGAATAAAGAAAAAATTCCCCACAAAAACTACTATGGGTAGGAAATATAATTAGTTTGATGGGTAGAAAAACAAATGGGTAGATAAGGGTAAATAATTTTGTTTTTGTGGGCAACTGTGTCATTCTCCCATTAAATTCTCATATTTCAAAGCAAGTCTGCTCCCAAAGTGATCAACCTAATTTTACAAACACTGATTAGTCTAAAAAGGATGAGACTTACTTTAATGGTAGAGTATCTTCACTACTAACCAATATTTTTCTTTTCCCTCCCTCCAAGAACTTCCCACCTTACTCTTGGGATGACTCAAAATCACAACCTCTTGATTGGAAGTGGAGGGTGCTCACCACTAGAGCAACCCACTCTTGTCCACTACTAATCAATATATTGGAGATTTGAGTCATAAAGAGATAAAATTGGGATAGTGTTCATTTCCCTTAGAGAGTTGGAGTAAATGAAAAAGAAAAAGAACAAGAAAACGAGAAATCACAAACACAGACTAGCATAATTAACAGCAAACATAATCATAAGAAAGAAATTAACCACAAAAAGAAAACAAGAAGCCCGGTGCACAAGGCATCTCGCATTCACGCAGAGTTTCGAGAAGAGCCGCACCCAAGAATTATAAACCTACCTTAATGCAAGCATTATTGGCTGCTTCCACGACTCGAATATGTGACCTATAGGTCACATGAAGACAACTACCATTGCTCTAAAACTCCCCCTCATAAGATATAAATTAACAAGGGGTGGAAAAGAATGATTCCCAAAATTAACAATAATCTGGTAAACATGTGAGGATTGTTGATAAAAAGCATATAGGAGAGGAAAAAGTAACCGTTTGTCTTTCATCATGTATCCATTTTGGATGAAAGCTTTTTGCATAGTAGGTCCAATGAAAAGTCAAAACAAATAAGATACAAAGGGAATCCAAGGTAACAAAGCAAAATCATGCATCCATATGCTCATCTCACTTCTTTCTCTCTTTTTCCTGTAACTATGTCTCTTTGACAGAGATCAAGCTGCCTTTTGTATTATTCACCGTCACAAACGGATTCAAGATTTAAAATTTATGAGTTCAACCTTTAAGATTCTTAGCATTAAACACGGGTATCTTTAAACTTATGGTTCATAATTACCGTTTGTAGCAGTTTTAAATAATTTTTACATATAAATTTATATTTCGCATCAAAAGTATCGAGTACAAATAAATCCGACGCCGCTACTCTACATCAACCCCGTTCATATTGCACTAGACAGCTAAACAATGATGAGGTGCTGAAGAAATACTCATTAAGCTTATAAGAAGCACATGCTAACAGATGTTTACTTATTATGCCATTTTCTTGGGCTAGAATCTGCAGCAAAGTTAGAACCAAAAAGGC